TATATGAAAACAGTCACTGCACCATAATTTCAACTCTTACAGTGTAAAATACAAAAAGTAGGTCAGAAATTATCTAATGATAAAATAAACTAAAATATTTCGCCCAGATTGAACTCAGAATGTTATTTCAAAGGCGCTATAAGATATGGAGTTGCTCTGGAATAAAAAAATATATGAATTACAACTTTAATAAAATGTAAATGTTAATGTATTCCCGTAAAATTTATGTAATTAACCAGATTTAATCCTAATTTTAATTTAATTTGGTAAAATATAAAAACTCCAACCTAATAACGAATGTTGGCCTAAATGTTAAGGTTATTTCCGTAAAATGTATGTAATTTAACCTAATTTTAATTTAATTTGATAAAATTTACAATATTCGTTTGTTTTCCCTTTCAGACTATGGAATACTAGCGGGTATCCATCATCAGGGTTGTTTGTCTACTCTCTCGCATCCACGATGTGTAAGCGAATATCTCTGTACGGCTTCTATCCGTTCAAACAAACTAACGATGGCAGCAGATTAACATACAACTATTACACTGATATTGGAATAGATGAGTTTGAGATAGGACATGATATGCCAAACGAGTATGAGTTACTACAAGCTCTACATAATCAGCGAATTTTGAGGCTTGTCACAGACCCATGCCCGCCAATCGAAAAATACGAAGTTCGCAATCGAAAACATAAACGTCGTACAGAATATTGAAATAATTATACCACAGCAATATTGATTTAGGCCTATATATTTTTACCTATTTTACACAACCCTCACATAAGGTAAAAAGTACAGAGTTCGATAGAAGCATGATTTAATTCCAAAACAAAACAGTCCACAAATTTAAGGCAAAGTCAGTGGTTATTTTAGTTGATTGTTCAACATAAATTTTAATTACCAAAGTACCGTTTTTTTTTTCTTTTAATGGCTATTGTATGTCACTTGACACGCTATATTTCAATGTAAATCAAATAAATATTTATTTTCTCAATAAAACATGTCATTTTTAGTGTGTATATTGTGTATATATACATGAGTATTAATTCAATAAAAATTCAATTTAAAAAATATTAAGTGGTAAGGAAGTTAAGAGGAAGTACAGTTGTTTTGGACGCGAGAAAAGAAGTTCTGTGACTTGACAGGAGCTGAACCCAAGACACTGAGAGGGAGTAGAAATCAACCACCAAAACCGACTACAAGTCTCAAAATCTGGACGAGTGATATCAGAAGGTTGAACAATTTAAATGTTGTATAGCATTATCTGTTTTGTTGAACCAATTACAGTAGCAACGGTTTCAGCAACCACTTCGGTCACTTACTATACTATATTTATGGAACCAGATGAAATTCTTTGAGAATATTTAAATATTGTTATCTATTGAAAAGACCTTTTCGGAGTGAACTTACTAACTGACCAATCAGAAAGGCCAGGAATACGCACGTGTCCAGAAAACTCACGCGTTGTCCCACACAAACGCAAGCGTAAGTTTTTACACTGTAGTTTTCTTCCTCAGCAAGAATATCCAATAGACGGGGCTTAGCGGAAAGTGCCATTGTTTTCCTCGTCAAACGATGTAATGTTTGAAAAATACTGTAGTAGTCTAAGTGCGCATCAAAACATAACATCACAGAAAAACTTAGAAACGCACAGTGCTGTTGCATGAACAACTCTGGTAATATAGCTAACCATTGAGGTATTAAATAGTAAAGTTCACTATTATATCCCTATGGGCTAGCTGACGTTGGATTGCGTGCGTTCGTCAGTTTTTTTTGTTTTTGTTTTTTTTTAGTTTTTTTTTTTAAATATAATTAGCACATGTACATCGACTACCAAGTGAAATAGAATGTCAAAATAGAAAATGAATGAATGTTTCATGTCTTAAATGTCGCAAGAAAGTCCTGGCGAGTGATGGGTGTTCTACCAACTGAAACTTGAGTGAAAGGGTCTCAAAGTATCGCCAATGTTAAAGCTGTGCGTAGCGGCGACCCTGATTTGCCGCTCAAGCCATTAGACTCGACCAAAGAAGCCTACAGTAAAAAGAAAATGTACTTGATGTCACAAGTATATAAGTATTATAAGACTGTCGGCAGACAGAAGACTATACTAAGCCTTGTTACCTTGTTAAGTACCGGCGAATACAATAATCCACATCAACATCCGCATCAATAAAGACGATACTTACAATCAATAAAGATCATATTATGTAAGAAACCACTTTATAGGATATAAAAGACAATATAATGGATGTATTTATTGATCTAAGGTCGATGTGGTAGCCAACACATTTCTTTATCCAGTGGCGTAAATATGGGTAGTCCGACCCGGCCAAAGAACTGATAGAAATATAACTTTAAAAAATCCTACTTAATTTTTTTTCCCTCAATAACCTTAGGTTTTGGAGGCCATGATTATAGATTATATTCCTTACAATTTACCTTTGCTATTACGTGCACCAAACACTGCAAGTAGGATAATAACAAATCCCTCGCATGATGACTTTTCACGAAAAAACATGCCATGTATAGCTTCATCAAGGTTATTTTTTGCACATTTTCTATTTACCTATGCTGCGTGCTCAACCAACCTAAGTGATCAGTTTACCATCAATCCGGGTGTAATGATTCGATTTTAATTTTCTAATCGGTAGGTAGGCCGCCTTCTGATCCGAATATCCCGATTCGGTGTGAATGAGGCTTAACTCAGCAATTACTGTGTCCGCCACTCAAAATCCAATAGTGTACGGTAATTGTTCTCCAAAACAAGGTGTAGTGCAAAGTGAAGCATTTCATTGTTGCATCCTATTTTGCTCAATTTGAAGAAAAAAATCGCTTACACAATAACACGACTTTGTGATTTGTTTTATCAAGGATGGGCCTATGCCCTTTAGGCATGGTATTGGAACCTTATCCTTTTTTTTTTATCGTCGATGAGTGCACGTATTTGCTCAGCGCACGCTAAGTATAAGTATACTGTACTTGCAGTGTTCGATCGGTATTAACTTTTTGTTACAGTAAATAGCGCTGCTAGGTCTTTTAAAACAGAAAATCTTGCCTGATATTGATATTCTCATAATAAAAAAGTGAGTATATGGTGATGGAAAACAGAGATATTTGAGATGGTTTTTGATGTCGAACTTAATTTTAGTATTCAAGAGTGCTTCATACTTAAGTTTTTAAAGAAAGAGTATTGTCTATTGTCAGGTTCATAGTTTTTTTTATAATTAACATTTAATAAAATAAATGTATACAAAGTAGGCGATATATTGAATTGTATTTGTATTAGCTCAACACTTTCACTTCATTTCATTTATTCGGAATAACACACACACATGATCGCTCTGAGGAATCCAATAGCGAAAAACATCACTTTCGTGAGAAATCCTAACGAACATGTGACAACAGAAAACATACAATTGGCATTACATAGTTATAATAATAATAATAATAATAATAATAATAATAATAACGATAACGATAATAATGATAATTAATGATAATAATAATAATTATTATTATTATAAAGATAAAGACAACGATAACAATAACAATAACAATAATATTAATAATAAAAACAATAATAATAATAATAATAATAATAATAACAAAAACAACAATAATAATAATAATAATAGTAATAATAATAATAATAATAATAATAATAAAACAATAATAATAATAACAATAGATAGGCCTAATTAGATATCCAAGACACAAAATGATTAAATTAGTTAAGGCTGTAAAGGTGATTCTTAAGTTTAGTAGAGAACTTTTTGTAAGTTATCCCACACAAGGAAAGCGAATAAAAGTGGAATGAAAAAAACGATTTTTTTTCTTGCCCGATTATGAATAAATTTCATTTTATCAAGATTCCTATGACGAGGCTGTACTGGTAATATGGATTGATCCATATTAATCTCTTTGTGAGAACACTTCATGACTATAAGGAAGGTGATTTAAGTTCAACTAATCTATCAGAATATGAAATATGGGTTGGGTCAACACACCTGTGCTTAAACAGTTTATACAAGGCTACTTTACATAAAGTTCGTTTCGTTTCTTTTTGTTTTATAAGTTTGCCTTATCGACCAATATCAAATAAACAGAACTTTGTTTATGCGGGGAGCTATATGGAAATTGTTCATCTCAGGATGTAAGCAATCTTTAGCATTGTCTCTACCTCAAACACAATGAGTGGTTCGTGTTTTGAAATCACGCTCCATAATACTAAGAACCCCTTAAAAGAACTCCAGTTGTAAATGCACAGACAACATGACATGTTCAAGGGGTAATATCTGTAAGTACAAACTTTTAATTCCTTGATATACATTCTACACTTACTACTGTAATGCCACAGAAGCCGCAGAAGTCAAAAGCCGGGCATCGCAAGCCGGGCGCACATTGCTCGTACGACGTATCTATCTCCGCTCTCCTAGGTCGTAGGCCGTATTGCCTTGGGAGGGGGGAGGTGGGGATACGACGTGTGTGTACAAAAATGGACCAACTATGGTATGGTGATTCGCTTAGCGCAGAACTCCTGATGGGACCAAGAGGAAGAGCCGGTTGGATAGCAGCTTTGGTATTTTAGGGAGTTGTATTGTAGATAATATCAAATTATATAATCAGTACATTTCCACTGTCAGAAAAATGTGGACCCTATCCAATTATGGGTGAGGGATTCGTACACGCCCATCTCCCCAACCCCATCCCAGGGGCGGCGCTAGTGGGGGAGGACCCAAGTCAGGACCTCTGGACCTCCCCACTTGGAGCCCCCTGTCGGGGAATTTCCAGCAAATCGTTAGGGAAAATCAAATCTCGATCGCCGAAGTCAAGAACTGTTTAGTGCGAGCAGTGCTACCGTAGGCTTGTGCGAGGTGTTGTAGATTAAATATTATCGCGATGTACGGGCTGCAGTGGTAGCGCCAGCTCTTCCCCGACGTGAGTGGTACCACCAACAGGGGGTTAGTACTCTTAACTTGCATGGTTTTCTATCTAATTTATTATTAACATTTTATTATTCTTTCATAACAAAATTCCCTGACAAAAAAATTCCCGACGAAGGAGGGGGTTGGCCCCCTTGTCGGAGAGCTTGGACCCCTCGTCGGGGAATTCCTGGCTCCGCCCCTTCGTGGTTATTGAAGATGCGACACCGTCTGCAGATTATCGGCATTAAACATGATCGTCATTAAAGCCTGTCTTCCACTATTCGAATTTATTCGCACGAATCGAAAACGTCGGTTCGCTTCCTGAGCTCTGATTGGTTGTGCATTTGATCGCTTCGCAAAAAAGTAGAAACAAGTTCAAACTACTGATTTTCTTGAAGCGAAAAACTCCGATAGAAATGTGAATGTGCATGCGCATGAAACGACGCTTTCGATTCGCCTAGTGGAAAACAGGCGTTGACATCGATCCGTTCAGCACACCCCGTAGTGTTTTCCATGCTGGGAATCGCGTTGGCCAATGGCAGCTGTCGCAATGTACCCGTCAGGGTATCGACTTTGAAAGTTTGAGGCAGTAACGGTTAGTGGCGTTGTAGATTCAATGATTATATCAATAAGAATAGTTGTCTTTTCAGGTTACTTATTAAACATGATGTTTTCCGTTGGTCAATAGTCAAGAAATATGCAATCATTTGTGTTGTAACCTTAGGCCAGTGCTTAAACCTTATTTGATAAGGTCGCAGAACCCCACAACTTCTAAACTGCATTTTTTTTTAAAGAACTTGTTAAATATTTACACTATGAGACTGAATATTTTGTATAATAATGCCTGCATTTACCATCACTTACACCTTACTGTTTTATTATATCCGGACGACAGTATAGTCATTTAAAAAAAATTGTTATTTAATTGACGCAGTCCTACGGCGTGAGTCTAGTGTTACCGTCTAGTTTAGTGCTGCCTATACTAATTGGCACAGGCCTACAGCATGAGTTTAGTGGTACCATGCCTAGTGTAGTGCTACTCAGGCACGGCGCCACGAAGAGTCCAAGCTCCCCGACAAATGATCCAACCCTCTCCCCGGTCGTGGAAGACTATCCCCCCTCCCCTCGATCAGGGGAAAAATTAAATTTGTCGTCGAATTTTTATTTAAAAAAAATAAAAGTTATTAATTATGGGATTCTTTATTTAAAAAGGATAATTTGATAGAAAACCATGCAAGTTAAGAGTGCCCCTGTCTAGGGTACTAACCTCGGTCGGAGGTACCAGTCCCATGTCGGGGAAGTGCTGGCGCTACCACTGCAACCCATACGATCGCAATAGTGTAAGGCATGCTTGAATTGTACATTTGGTGCTCGAGATTTGATTTTCCCACGACGACCTTGCTGGAAATTCCCCGACAGGTGGGTCCAGGCGGGAGTCCAGAGGTTTCAGATGGGGTCCTTTGTCCCCTGGATCCCCCGCTAGCGCCGCTCCTCTATCAATATACTAATTGGCGCAGGCCTACAACATGAGTCTAGTGTTAGCATTGTCTAGTTTAGTGCTAACAATAGATTTGTACTGGACCAATCTATGGTATAACACACAATGTAGTAATGACTATTACTTTGAATATTGTTTTATATACAAAATACCGACACCTCTGATACCCATTATACTACACACTACACACGCAATGCGTCTTTAAGTTTAAAAATGTTCGCCACAGTTCATTTGCAGTGGCATGACTGGCAAACACACGATTTAGATCCATAGCATATGGGAGTCAGGTATTCATGGGTGACTATATGCACATTAGTGGTGTCCAGGGGGAAGGGATCGATGTCACATCTTAGGAAGCGAAAGCGTTTATTTTAATGGTGATTGATGCAGTGGCGGCTTGGATTGTCAAAGAGGGTTCGTTCGAAAAGGGGATTGCGGCTAAAATCATAAAGAAAATCCACACCTGATTATAGTCAGCGCTAATAGCGTTGCGCTATCACACACCAAAACGCTCTAAAGTTCATAGGATATTGCGTTGACGAACATGCCACTAACACTACAGTGACGTGGTATGGTATAGCCTTCGCAATATCCCAAGATAATTATTGTAGCACAATAGACCTTTCCGGAGTGTCAATCAAACTTAACAACTGACCAATCAGAACAGCGCTAGGAATGCGCGCGCGTCTTACAAACACACGTGTTGTCCCACAAACGCACGTGTTCGTGTATGTTTTAACAGTCGTCTTGTGGGACCTTAGCAACAATATCCAAGGGGCGGAGCTTAGCGGAAAGGTCAATTAAAAGCCTTTCAAAGTCATAGTCAAAGTCAAAGTCTTCTTTTTTCCTCCATCAAAAGGAAATTACATTACATTTATCATATGTTGCACCATCGCTCTGGAATTCTTTTCCAGACCACATTAAGAATGCAAAATATGTCACCATATTTCGCAACCTTACGAAAACAATAACGAATACGAATACGTCATCTTCATTATCGTCATTCGTGCCTAAAACTTTCTTAACAATACATATACGAGCTAAATATGATCGTTGATGATTTAAAATGTAAAAATCATGGATCTCCTACGCTGTCACATGCTACTGTACACTGTAAAAACAGCGTGGACCATTTAAACACAAAGCTCCACACAATGTTCTCCCGTTTTCGGTGACACGTTTAAAAGCAACGTGTTTAGGTGCGGTCTAATGTGTTTAGGTTTCTGTGTTCTGTGTTCAGTATTAGATGTGCTTAGGTATTTGACATCATGATGTCAAATACCTAAGTACATTTAATGCTAAACAGTCAAGATCCTAAATACATTAAGCTATGTCTAAACACGTTTAGCTTTTAAACGTGTCGTCACCAAAAACGGGACAACATTACGTGGAGCTTCGTGTTTAAATGCTCCACGGATAGGGATAGATTGACTTAAAAATGATGATTTGTTTGGCACAATACCAGAGACAAAGGAGCAATTAGTGATGTGTGTAAGTGGGATAACTATTTTATCTGCAATGGCTTTGATAATTCGCGGAGAAATATCATCGTAGCCTGGATTTTACTACCGTCTAAATTATTTATTATATCATATATTTCTTTATTAGTGACATGAGTGGCGAAGAACGAGTTTTGCTGACAATTACCCAAGTATTCTGTTGGAGTAGACGTTGAACTTAGATTAGTGCCAATGTTTGTAATGATTAAAAGAAGAAACAATTTCGTTATCCCCATAAATTTCTTTTTCATTATTATGTTTCATAGAAGATGGAATAGGTATTTTTTCTGATCACTGAATTTATTACATCCCATATTTTTTTCATGTTTCCTTTTGATTTAGAGAATCTATTAGAATAATATTGTTTCTCTGTCGATCGACAGATCCTATTAAATATATTTCGATAAATATCAGGGATTCGTTTATTTTCTGTTGTTAGATTTTTAGATATTTTCTATAGAGTTTAAGCTTTCTTTCTTTTGCTTGATTCTAATAGGCCATTTGTCATCCATGGTTGTTTAAATTTGTTTGGTTTATGTTTTTTATTTTAATTTTCCGCAGGGTATGTTTATCATATATGTTTTTTAAAGTTAAATGGAACATTTCATAAGCAGTATTTGGGTTTACTACTTGGGTAATAGGGGTCCAATCAACGGTGTTAATTTCATTTTTGATATTCTGTAGCCTATTGATTTATCATTGATGGTATACTTGAAATTGGTAACAATTTTCAATATTTACTTGACTAGATTTCTGAGCATTATGAACATTACGATTTATTTTAAATATTGGCAAGTAATCAGTGAGGTTGGATATTAGAACATCTGCAGAACAATTTGTGCCAATCTGATTCGTAAATATATTAACAATGAGTGTGGCTGAAGACAGTGAAATTCTAGTGGGTTTTGATATTAAAGGATAAAAAGAATTGGATATCATGGTGTCAATATTTTTTTGATTTATCATTGTTGTTATAATTTAAAAGGTTAATGTTGAAGTCGCATATAATGTGGCATATTTTGTTTTCCGAATTAATTTTAAAGAGTATATCTTCAATTGCCATTGTGAATGCTTCGACAAAAAGGTCAGGTGCTTTATATATTATGCCAATAATTATATTTTTGCTTTTACTTGGGATTTCTATGAATAAAATTCCACATACTCTGCTATCAGTTTTGATGTCAACTCTTTCAATAAAGTTTATAGTTTCATGAACATTAATGCCTACACCTCCACCTTTTTTATTTTTTTTCTATTTACATGAACGAAGTTATAGTTTTTGAAAATCAGGTGTGGGGGAAAATTCGTTTAGCCACGGCGTTTTTGTGACTCATATAATTGAAAATTTATGATTTAAAAGACTGAGAAACTGTTTCAGTTCGTCAGTATGTTTACACTCCTTGTATTTAAATGAAATAAAGGTATATCATCTGTAACAGACAGATACTAGCTATTGAAATCATCAAAAATATCAAAATATTCACAATTTAGAAGAGTATGATTTCTCTCTATTAAGCTATTTTGTATAAAGATTGTTGGTTATCATATTGGTTGCTTTATTCGCCAATTGGGTTGAAACATAAATTCCTTGTGATTTTCAGTTGCCTTTCAGTTGTCTTTCACAAGTACTTTAATAGCGTTTTCGTAAGCTTGAGAAACCTCCCTACTCCATTTAGGAGTAGCATTACAAATGAAATAATGAAGGTATAATGTGGTTATATAACATGTTTCAACTTTAGCTTCAAGGCTAATGTCGCTTCAAAAGTGTCTTGTCACAGATGACGCAGTAAACTAAATGAAAATTAACGCCCAGCAATCACGCTATTCATACCCGCTCTTTGTATAATGTTATAGGTGAATTGAACCTGACGATCTGACCTGTGTTGTCACGCTTGCACAAAGGAAAAACCAACAGAGCTAAGGTGTACGCTCGTACTAGTTTCTTTTTTAGCCTATAGTAGTTGCATGTTCACTATTGATATTCGGGTACTCTAGCGTCGATGTTCAGATGTGTAATACGGTAGATAATATTTACAGACAATTGTGAGATAATTCATGGCTTGTCTTTGGGTGTAATACAGAAAGGTCCGTTGATGAATACCAATATAAAGGTAGGGGTGCCTAATTAGTATTGTATTAATATATCCCGAAAAAGGGCTATGGCTACATAATATAGACTCGAAGGAGAGCAACGAACCACTACCGGTATGTGTGTTTCTTGTCATACGTTGCTACGACAATGTTCAAGACAAACTGACATTGTAAAATAAGTGGTCAATTTTGTTATCTGTAAATATGGCTCATCCTATAACGTGTAGTTATTAAGCCGTATTATATCTGTCTCTTATACACATCTACGGTGTTAATTTCATTTTTGATATTCTGTAGCCTATTGATTTATCATTGATGGTATACTTGAAATTGGTAACAATTTTCAATATTTACTTGTTGTACTGTGATGGTTACTTTTGTTGTTGTTATTGTAATATGTGTTTGCAGGACCATATTGTAAAACAGCGGTAAGATCTCGCCTGTATATGTTATCCTGCCTAAAGATGTTTTAAATAAATAAAATAAATAAAATAGGAGTTAATTAAGGTGTCTGAATTAAACAGGTTGTCTCTGAACATATTTAAAACCAATTTTATTCTTTTTAATTACAAAACAAAATAAACTAATTCATCTTCCATAAAAATTGATAATAGCATTATTAATCAAGTCAATGAAACTAAATTTCTTGGAATAACATTAGGCTCTTTATTATCATGGCAACCTCAGATCAACAAAATTAACAATATTATTAAATAAACATTGGTAACAAGTTAAGATATTATTTTTCTCAAATAATTTTTTATCATTATATATAGGCCTACTTTATTTCTACCTAACATTAATTATTGTAATATTTCATGGGCTACCACAATTGATAAATTCGTATATGTATGCCCCTAGACAAGTCCTGAAATAACCAATATTGATAACATTTTAACTTACAAAAACGCACTATCAGGATTTGTGCAGAGGCAACGCGATGTTCACGTACAAACAATTATCTTATAATTTTAACGTCCTTAATGTTTTGACCTAAATAAATTGCAAAATGACACTTTGCCCAAACATATTTCTTCTTTATTTCCTAAACAACGGAGTGCCATTCATGAATATAAAACTAGATTCGCAAAAAACAATGGCACTAAACTATGGAATTTCGATATTTGTTTCAAAAGATTAACTAATCTTCATATATTTAAATCCAATTTTAAAAGTCTCTGGTCTCGGTATGCCTTCTGTCCTTTTTATTACTGTATGTAGCTATAAACCTACTTATCAATATTAATTGTAACAAATGTTAATTAATTAAATGCGCTACCACACGAGTATATCTTTGAATTTCTGTTTACGTTTTCAAAAATAAAATTTTACTCCTGTTGGAAGCTTATGTAATTTGTTTTTAATGCTCAAGCATTCTAAACTAGACTACCAATAAACATTTTTTTTAATTTAATTTATTTAGATAATGTTCCCTTGGCTCCACCTTGTTTTGTTTTCTCCCATATATTTATTTCTGATTTTTACTGGTGACCATGTCTTAAAGTTTGTCTGCAAACTTATTTTGATTTCTATCCACACACTTTTCTTTTGTTTTGTTAATTTTTAAGTGTTGATATAATTAATTGGTATGTACCAGTGTTTAGTTATTTTTCTTGTTATAATTGTAGGCCTATTATTAAGTTGCCATTCAATTGTCAATGTACTGACGTATTTGTGTGTGGTAAAAACAATAAAACAAAACAAACCGGAAATGAAGGACGATGTTGCCAAGGAGAGGGTAAGTCAGCGTGGCCAGGGCCTTCACAGAGGCCCTCGGTGGGATCCAAGGAGAAAAGCCCCAACCACCCCTCCCCATGAAGTTCCGAAAATGTTTGCGTTTAAAAGGCGTAGGCCCTATTTAGTCCATTTTCGAATCTCTTAATACATACAATTAAAAAAAATAATACGTAGAATTTTTCTGCTAACGAATGATTTGAGCACCCGAAGAATCACCTAATGTGGCAACCACTTCCTCTTTAAACAATACACTGCATTCCAGTATTCTAAAGTATGACGTCTTAGAGCCCAATCACACCCAGGGCCGCCTCATGGTCGGCATTTTTTAAGTGTGAACAATCAATAAATGTTAAGCCGGCCCTAAATTTAGTCCGACTTTTGAGTCGCCCCAGGTCATGTCTCGCGCGAACTCCATGTGTTTATGCTGGGTTGGGATTTATCGTTTCACCATCATATAATGCGATCGCCTCGAACTTCTTGTCCTGCAATTCATCGACCTGGCATAGAGAAGTATGAACGTTCGTAAGGCGGCCCTGGGCCGACTAATAAAACAATAACTGTGAACGGAAAATTCGTTTGAGTCGGACCTGAGTCGGCCGTATTTAAAGGCGGCCATGGGCTTTATAATAAAGAGCTCTTTTGTCGTGAAAAATCAATAATAGGCCTATCTCTTGTTCAGTACCGGATTCCAGTTCTATTAAGTAGGTAAATTTAAGAAATGGCAGGCAAAAAAATATCACAATCCTGATAACAATTTGCGAATTGTGGCAATCTCATGATGTTTTACCTTCCATATTGTTGTATGACGTGTATTGTATTTGTATTTTCTTCACAGGAAATGGTTTTAAGGAAAAGTCTACGATTTACAGCAGGAGTGTACTTCCTACTTCTCATATCATGTACTTTAGTATTATTAGGAATGATTGTAAATATGCATAATAGAGACTGTAGTGAGCAAGTTATTCTAAAGACATACGCACTCATTAAGTCAATGAGTAACAACAACGCGTATGATGGACAGTAAGTATTTCTTTATTTCTTTAAGTTATCAATGTTTCAAAAATTACAGACTCCCATACTATTGCTAAAAAACTAAATGACTATTTTGTAAACATCGGACCAGATATTGCAGCAAAAATTAATATTCAAACTAATCAACATTTCTCTTGCTTTCTTAACCCACCTCTTCTTGATTCGTTTTTTTTAAACCCAGTTACTGAATACGAAATTATAGAAATTATCCAAACCTAAAAAAATAATAAGAGTCCTGGAAATGATGAAATATCAAACAATGTTGTCAAACGTATATCCAATCAAATCTCAAAACCTTTATGTTATATCTTTAATCTTTGCTTTGGAAAGGGAACATTCCCTGATGCCCTAAAAATTGCCAAGGTAGTTCCTATTTATAAAAAAGGTGATCCTCATTTGTTTACTAATTACAGACCTATTTCTTTATTACCTTGTTTCTCCAAAATCCTTGAGCGCCTAATTTACAACAGATTGCTTGGGTTTTTAGATAAGCACAATATTATTCATAATCGCCAATATGG